GGAATGTCTATTTTTTTCTCTGGTGACATTGCCCCCAAACCGTAAGCACAAGCATCTGTGTCCCATAGGAGAGGGATTTTGAAATAGTTAAGCCAGGACAGGAGCAGTCACAAGAACATCGTACGATTCAGAAGATGTTTAACCACGCTCAGACCACTGAAATGGATTCCTTTCACACATACATGCCTCTGTAATCAGAGTTAATGATGAAATAAACTGTACTTCAGTGGCAGTTTGAAGAGCTGCATTTGCAGAAGTGTCCTCAATTTTCCTTTTGCTTGGAAACATTATCCTCTTTGTCTGTCCTCATTCGATTCACGAGTTCAGAGATTGCAACTCGGATTCACTTTTTCACCAAGAAGATTTTGAGTTGCTAAGATCCCCCTAAACTCCAGGTTTTTTACTAGGCTTACCTGAGAAAATGTAGCTCTTCTTGTTCAGTGCAAACTAGTTGCTTACTCCTCATTGTTTCGCCTTGGCAACATCTTTCAAGGAGACTTTCACAAATTGTATCTATAAGATATTTTTTCTGCATTTTATTGCAGTTAGCCATGATGAAATCCCACATTACTTCACCTTCATGGGCTTCTTGCTCAAATTCCAGAGGTCTGTATTTTGAGTTTTTCTGATCACTTGAATCATTGTTTCTGTAAACAACTCTTATTATTTCCTTCATAGCAGTTCACCTAGACTACAATTCACGCTCTTTCCTCGCTAGAAACCAACCGACCCTGATAAGGATATTGCCGCTTCTGACCAGCACGGCTAGCCAAAACAACCTGTACGTTATCCTGGTTAGGAAGGGAAATTGTAAAGAAAAAAGGCTTCTTTCGTGCAACTAAATTTGTTTCAAAGGTTTGTGATTGTAATTCCTGTTTCTCAAGCATAGGAGAGTACAAAACACAAAGTATCCTCTTGCTCCAGCCTCTCCAGCCAACACTCAAAAAAAAAAAAAAAAGCCTGAGCTTTTTTTCCTGAGCACGTAAACCTGCTTTGAGCTTTGCTATTATGTCGTTTCTGAGCTCTGCCTTTCTCTTTGAACTGTCTCACCTACCTACTGCCAGACTCCCTGAACAGCACACAGAGGGCGCTTTGCCCAGGGTGCTCAAATTGCAGAGCAACCTTGTATTTACATTTGTTTTGTGTATGAAGTATTTGCTTCATTGTCTCTAACAGCCCTAGTTATTGACAGATGGTGGTTCAGCCGTGCAATTTCAACCCAACCTACAACTACGGCATGAAAAACTGTCTTGGGAAGATCTGGTAGAAAGATCACCACTACTTTGCTCCAGATGAGACCTAAGTATCCTCAGGCTAAGAATCATTTGTTGATCTTACAGTGAAACTGTTTGTATTAAAACTTTATTCAGAATAGTGTTTCCAAGTATTTCCAAGGCTGCTAGAGGCAGAGGTTGGGTGAAATGTTGTACCGCTGACCCTGGTAACGTTTCAGAACAATAGAAGAAAGTCTCACAATTTTTTTCCTGCTTTGTATTAGAAAAATGAAGCATCAGGAAAATGTCTCAATACTAAGATTTTCTTCTTATTCCAAAATTATGATTAAGGCTAATTTAAAACAATTTAATGTATTTAGAATCAAACTCCGCACTCTTTTGGGCACTGTAATTCTCAATAATGCCAAACAGAAGTCAGGTAGGAATTCATTGAGAGTGTATACATTTCATCATTGCTTTGAATAAAAAAAATTAGTGAAAGAATTATTTCCCAAGAAATAAGTATTTAAACTTTTAAATAACTGTTATATAGAATAATTGGTAGTTACCAGATCACTTTGACTCTTCTAAAATACAAAGCTAAAATTTCTGATCCATGGGAAATTGAAATTATTTGCATTTGGAATGAATAATATTCAAATTTTTGACTTGCCCACAGGACAAGAATCCAGAATCCATACGACTTTATTCTTCTTGCAATAACTTTTTGTTTCAGTTATTGATTCCAAGGATTCCATTTACTTCCTTTAGGGCTGTCTTGATTATTTTGTGTGATTTTCCTACGCGCTATGTGGAAGTAGGCACACAAGGAACTGGACAGTCATCTAAACTCTGTCTTTAACTGCATCTGGACAAATAGGGTTGAAAAGTTGGTGCTTTTATTTGGGTTAAGTAGCAGGAGAGTCAGGTATATATACAAAATCATTTGCAAAACCGCAGTTAAGGCTGTGGATGACGGGCATCGTTTCCCAGACTTGGGAAGCTGCTGTGACTTAGGGAGGAGGGAGCCTGCAGAGGAGCGCAGGCGGCGTGCCTCGTCGCCCCGTGCAGGCAGGCAGAACTCGCCGTGAACCTGCTGGGAGGGCGCAGGAAACGGTTCGTTACCTATGCCACGCCGAGGAAACCAGCGACAGGAGAACGCGTGCCAGCCACGCGCAGCCCGAAGCGATCCCAAGCGCGGAGCGGCCGGCCCTGGGCCCTCGGCCGACGGGGCCTCGCGGCGCCCGGGGAGCGCGACACGACGCGTAGCACTTCTTGTTGATATCTACCTGTTTGGGAAGGGTTAAGAATAATAGGATTTTACACAGGAAGAAGGGGGGGGGGGGAGGGGTTT